TCCCGCCCCCTATAGCGAAAACCTCTCAAAAAAAAAAAGATCCTGAGAGGAGACTGGAGAATGGATTGCGGAGAGGCCATACTCCCGGGGGGTGATTTCTTGCTTTCTGTCTCTCCAGATTGTTGTGTCCTATAGCAAAAATCTCAAAAAAAGAGTCTAGTTTTTTTTTTTTTTTTTTTTTTAAGATTGTTTTTGATAAAGAAGTAAGACGTATTAATTTTATTAAATTCCAAGCCCTGGACACACATCTCAATCTTTTGGGAGGAACTGGGTGCTTGCAGAAGGTGCTGGCGGGAGGCGGCGGGCGGCGAGGACGGAGCTGTGCTTTCTTCACGGTGCGCCGTTCCCACTCGCAGGAATGGCAGGCTGACCTTGGGTCCTTGGCAGGTGTTTTCTAGGAAATGAATGACGCTCACCTGCCATTTTAAGGAAAACAACTGATAGTATTTATGGATGGTTTGATAAAGTTTGAGATTTTGAATTAAAAAATAAGAAATTGGAAACCTTGTATCTCAGCACTCAGATTTTTCTCGCGAGGTCACGGTGACGTTCGTGAGGGCATTTGGAGAGTTATGTGTGGACCTACATAACTTGGTGAAGCAGCGCCTTCTGAATGGCTGGTCCCGATGACAAAAAGACATCCGGGGGCAAACGTGAGCCAGTACTTTTTCCTTTTTTTTTTTTTGTTTTTTTAAGGTTTTTACCATAGGGCAGAGAAAGACAAGGAGAGGGAAAGTGAGAAATCACCCTGCAGGGGGAATGGCCACGCCTCAATCCCTTCTCCTCTACACGCCTCCTGGGACTCCGGGGATGCGCACACATGGCCAGCGTGAGTTTCACGCCACCAGATTCAAGACTTGAACAGTGATTGGCCGTGTGGGAGTCCACGCCCCTGGGTCCCTGGACCAGGACTTTCTCCTGTGACGAGCAAGCCGGAGTCACACATCACACAGCCTTAAGCTGCCACCTGTTGGGTTTGGGCCGAGTTTAGAAAGAGCCAAGAGGAGCTAACCTGGTGAGCGGAGCCTCTCTGCCGAGGGTGGGCCCTGCACAGGCAGCCCCGGGGCCGTCCCACCAGATGGTGCAGGGGCCGGCCAGAGTCCAGGTGGACACTGCAGAGTCCAGGAAATGCAGGGCCACGCATTCTTCTCATTTAACTTATTTAGAAAAATGCCTATATTTTCATGATAAACGTTTACGTTAAAATACAGATGGTTTATTATTTTGAAAATGAGTGAATAAATATTTTATGAGTATCATGCCTTATACTCACTGAGTGTGAGGTATGTTCATTTGTTTAGGTCTTCAGTTTCTTTCAACAATATCTTGAGCTGGCCTCATGGCCTAGTGTTAGGGAGCTGGGTCCACATGGCTGCCCATAGTTTAAATCCTGCCCCAGTGGATTGAAAAACACACCCAGTATGTGTGCGTGTCCAAAATCCCAAGAGCCTGGGCAAGCGGGCAAGGGACTGCCATGTGACTGTGCGGCTAGGGGTGCTCGCTCGTTCTCTGGCCAGCACATGTGCCCTCTAGCAATAAAAAATAGAAATATTTAAAAACTCTTCTCATCCTAATTTTGAATACAGCAAATACTGGTATATAAAACTGCAGAAACAAAAGCTCTCTGGGGTCCTCAATAATTTTTTCTTTTCTTTTTTAATTGTCAGAGGGTACAGGCAGTCACCAGAGAGAGACAGGAGGAGAGGAGAAGGAGAAAACACCCACCGTGGAGAGTGGTCATGCTGCAGTTCCTTCTCCATTCCCCCGTTGGGATTTTGGGCATCGTGCACACTCCCCCAGTATGTTTTTTCAAGTTGTGTGTCTGGGACTCAAACCACAGGGTCAAGCCATGTAGGGTCCAGCCCTCTTAACTGCCAGGCCGTGGGGGACTGGTCCAGGGTCTTCACTAATTTACTTACTTATTTTTTTGAGATGTTTTTGCTATAGGGTACTTGGGCTCTCCAGAAAGACAGAGAGAGACAGAGAGACAGAAAGCAAGAAATCACCCCTCCAAGGGGGATGGCTGTGCCACAATCCTTTCTCTTCATTCTTTCCGCATCTTGGGCACACACACACACATGCCCTACATGAGTTTAAGCCACCAGGTCCGGGACTCAAACCGGTTGACTACATGGGAGTCCAGCGACACAGGCATTATGCCAACTGCTGGTCCCCTCACTAATTTTTAAAGAGTGAAACGAGTCCTGAGACCAAACACGTCTTAGAACTGCTGGTTTAGAGTTACTTGCTCTGGAAGCCGCTCCTGAAATAGATGGACAAACCATGGACATACGTGTGTGTGTGTGTGTGTGTGTGTGTGTGTGTGTGTGTGTGTGTGTGTGAAGGTGATTTTTTTGTGGGAGAGCTGAGAGTATAGTGCATAATTATTTAAAATGTGTCAGCTCTTTGTCCTTTTCGTTATTTTTCCTGCACCTTATGCATGAGAGCCGTCGCATCAGGAGTCCGTACTGTCCTCCCCAGGCTCCATGGACCAGGGTCCCCCAGGCTTTTCACGTGAAACCGGAGTGGGCACAGGATCAGCAGTGTGAGTGCAGAAGGCTGCAGGCTTGAAAGTGTGGAGAGACGTGGACGGAGGGAAGCCAAGGCCCTGCCAGTGATTTTCAGAAAGCCGGTTTTCGCGGGCACGTGGACTTGTTTGGGTGTGTTAGCACTTCCGCACAGGCAGACCCAGGGCCTGGTGTGTCACCTTTGGTCAAAGGTGACTCTGATGTGAATTACGTGGGGGGATTTACATAGGAAAGAGGAGGAAAAATGTGTATAAACAACATTCTCCTTTTTGCTTCCTCAGATCCTCTGTCCATGGGTCCTCAGAAAGCTCTGGAAACCATCGGGGCAAATTTACAGAAGCAGTATGAGAACTGGCAGCCACGGGTAAGCTTTCTGTGTTTGTGCTTCCCTGGTTTTCTCACCAGGAAACCTCAGTCCCTTCTTTTCAAAAAGTCTTGGGATGCACTGAGAATTCTGTGCAGACGCCATCCTGGTCGCCTGGCAGCTGCACGACCCTGACTGCACGGGTACCTCTCACCCGCCAGCTGTATTTTCTTGCCAGTCAGCTGTTGGGTAGTCTGTTTCTCATTCTGCTTGCATTTCCCTCTAAATCTCTAAAAAAGAAAAAAGTATTCTTTATGTTCCTCCTAAATCGTGGTTTCTTATTTTGCACAGGAAATGTATTTTCAATAACTTTGCTGCAGCTTCAACTAGTTAGAGTTATTCCTCCTGTCTTCAACTTTCCAACAGTAGAGGGGGGGGGGAACCAGCAGCAGCATTCAAAAGATGACACTTATTATAGACTTTGTCTTTGATTCAAAAGATAAAGTTCTTTTTAGGGAGCCAGTTACCAATTAGGGTGTCTTTTGTTGCTTGTATCTTACAGTCTTGTCTGTTTCAAAGAAAAATGACAGGATATAGCTGTGGCAGGCTGCTTTAAGATCTGAAGTTATTTGTAAACCGCCCAGAGACGTATTTCCTTGAGCCTTGCTCATTAACTGGTTTGAGGATTTAATAACTTTTCGCAGAAAGTTAGGATTTGGCATGTTTGTGGCGGGACCTTTGTGCGGTGGGCTGGTTTGAAACTACCCGAAGGAGTGTGGTGAAGAGGGTGGGTTGAGCAGGTGGCCGGCGCTGTGCCCCTTCTGTGAGCCTGACTCCTCCCTTCCAGACAGAAGCCCATCAGCTGTTGGTAGATGCCCCGAGCCCTAGCCGGCATGGGGCTTTGGTTTGTGGACCCTTTATCCGCACAACCTGAGTTTAGGGATTTCTTGTACGGTGTTTACATCTTGAGGTCAGAGAAGAACCAGAGTGAGTTGACCGCCTTCGGTGGCCACCTGTCTGGAAACTTCTGTGTCAGGGTAGGCGACCCTTGGTGCTTTGTGCCTCTCAGTCACCAAGTCGGTGGAATGGACTCCAATTCTTTAGAAGGCAGTTTCTAAGGGGTGATTCTGGGAGATACCTAAAAGCTTTTACTTGTCCTCTTTCAAATTTTTTTAACCCCTTAATGACTTACGTGGAAATGCAAGTAGCCTTTCTCGTGAGAATGCACATGTTTAGGGGTTTAGTGGCCCCAAAGATATTTTGATGGTGTGTTCCTTTAAGAGTTGAGCTGCCTAGTGTTTTAGTAGAAAATAGCTTCTTCAAGGATGTTGATGGTACTCAGGGTCTCAGCAAGGTGAGTCGAGCACCACTCAGGGGAGCGCTGTGTGGAGACGTGGAGCCACGAGGACCTGGCAGGATGAGCCAAGGCCACAAGTGTTAACAGAGCTTTCCTGTGGGTACATTTGTGCTAAAAAGAACGAAGCCCAGATGAATTCACATCAGCCCGTCATGCTCTTCACAGGACACACCTCTGCAGTTTCATTACTTCCTTCCTCTTAAAGAATTATTCCATGAGAAATGCAGTCTTTCAGAATACGCATATCTAATGTTTCAAGGTATTGTGTTTATTTTGTTTGGTATAATTTACAAGTTTTTGGAGTGCTGTGCTGAGAGTTGATGTACAGTGAACTTTTTCATTGGTTGGCCTCAGCTAGTTAATGCTAGCTGTCAGTAGCTGGATTCTTCTAAATTATGTTCTGTTATTATTTTAAAAGCAGATACTTTACAGTTTTTTAAAAGAATTATTTATTTTAGTTGTTACCATTCTTAAATTTGACCAGAGAGAGACAGATACAGAGAAAGGGGGAGTGAGAGAGAAAGAAAGTCAGCAAGCTGCCAGGTCTGGTACTCGAACCACATTTATCCATGTGAGAGTCCAGCACCTTAACCACCACACTGCCTGCTGGTCCCTGTCATTATTTTTTGGAGATTTTTTTTTTGTTTGACCAGAGAGAGACAGATACAGAGAAAGGGGGAGTGAGAGAGAAAGAAAGTCAGCAAGCTGCCAGGTCTGGTACTCGAACCACATTTATCCATGTGAGAGTCCAGCACCTTAACCACCACACTGCCTGCTGGTCCCTGTCATTATTTTTTGGAGATTTTTTTTTTGTTGTTATAGGGCACGTGCGCATGCCAGAAAGACAGAGACAGAGAGACAGAAAGCAAGAAATCACCCCCCCCCAGGGGGGCTGGCCACACTGCAATCCCTTCTCTTCCATTTTCCTCTTGGGGTCTTGGGCATGCATGCACACATGTCCAACATGATTTTAAGCCACCAGGTCTGGGACTCGAACCGTGGTTGACTGTGGGAGTCCAGCAACATAGCCATTACACCAACTGCTGGTTCCACTGTCATTATTTTTAATCTAAGTGTTTGTCTAAGAGCAGACCCCTTCCATGGCATGTGGAGACGTGTTGTGGTACGAGTGGCCACAGGTGGAAAGATGATGGTGTGTGGTCACGTGCAGGGTCGAGAGTTCCATCCCACGGTATGGCACCAGCTCTCCATGGACTGGGAGCATCAGTGCAAGGGGCACATTCCTCTGGGTAGGTGTCTCTCCCTCTCTCTCTCTCTAAAGAATTATTTAAATGTATCTCGCTCTCTCTCTGTCTCTCTATTCAGTTTGACCAGAGAAGGACAGAGTGAGAGAGATGGAAAGTGAGAAAGAAAGCCTCCAGGTCCAGGACTCAAACCACAGTCAGCCATTGGGAGTCCAGCATCCTTAGCCCCATGTCACCTGCTGCTCGGTGGCAATGCAGAGAGTGGGGCTCAGATAAAGCATTGGCTGCAGTTGGGGAGGAAGCTGTTCCTGCTGGCAGGATCTGCAGCCTGTGTTCAGGAAGTAAACCCCCCAGATGAATCCTCAATGTTTTCTTTTTGAATGACAAAAGATTGCATTTATTTTTAAGTATGATAAAAATTTCCCACTGCAAACCATTTTTGCAGGCCTGATTCGTAAATGAGCCTCAGGTAAAGGACATTGCCCCTGCCCCCACTGGTTTGCTGATGTCACATGGGAGGCTGGGCCGGACATCCTCGGCAGTGGGAGCACGTGCCCCTTGCGGTGCGTGTGGAGCGTGTGAAGTGCCTCTGCCCTTGGGAGCTCCAGGTGGCTCCGGGGCAGTGACAGCTGCGGCTCCCGGAGCGTGGCGGACCTCATGCTGCTTTGGAGGGTTTGCGCAAAACATAAGGCAGTCACAGAGCTCAGGTGACCGCCGCAAGGCGCTGTTCCTGACTGGAAATCCCGGTCCTCTGGAACACCACAGGGCTGGCACTTGGCGCTTACCTGCCTGCTGTGGGCTCGGCTCTGCCGTGGTGAAGGGCGGTTGGTGTGCTGCCTCGCTGGACCCCCAGACCTTTGTGATCAAGACTCACACATCTGCTTTTCTCTGTGTCCTCTACTGCAAGACGCACAGAGGCCGGGCAGTTTGTAGTAGGGCCGTTTTCGCCAGCACTTGCTGAAACTGTCGCAGGCCTCCATGTGCAGTCGCTTGGGTGGGATCAGATCACGTAAGGCCTACCGCCTCCAAAGTGGCTCCCGCCCAGAGGTGTGGAGAGCCGTCGGTGGCCTGAGGGCAGGGCCCTGGGACCTGCTGCTGTCTTGCCAGGGTGAAGACACGTAGGTTCCTCCCTCCCTTCTAGCTTTGACCACTCGGAGCGAACATTCGGATAAGGGTGACTCTGGTTCAAGAAGGAATTTAAAACCCCGATGGTTCTTTCATATGGGTGCCAGACTATCTGCTCGTATTTCCTTGCCAGGCCGATCAAGCCCTTTTCTAAATAATTTATCAGTTTGCCATTGGTGAAATATTTCTCCTGATTAAATTTAAGACTTTGCTTTATTGCCTGGTAGGTACATAAATTTGTGTTCTGCGGGAGATTGAAGGAAAATGCCAACTGTTGTTCCAGCTGAAAATTCTGCAGTAAAACCTCACTCATTTCATCATAAGTCTCAAATGAAAGTTTTATTGAGAGATGGGAGTAGACAGTGAAGAATTTATCTTGTTAAGAATTTCCCCAACACAGTGGGGGTCTGGCAGTCCGGTGGAGGATGCAGGGAGGGTGGAGCCGATGGAAAAGCAGAAGGACCCTCTCCATGCCATCCTTTCCCCACAACCAGGAGTAGGGCCACTTGCTTCTCCTTGGGGTGAGATTTGGCTCTTGCAGTGGCTTCAGGATCAGCTTATTTGTTATTTGCTGGGAAAGTGCAGCCGTTGGGGGAGCCCGCGGTGTCGGCAGCTCCGAAGTGCCTGCTGACCGCCCGTCCTGCTCAGAGCTTGTGCTGGGAGGGCAGGAGGCAGCGTCCTCCTGAGCCTGCTTTGCCACGGACTACCTTCTCTTGCCGGCCATCCTGCGGAGGGCCCTGGGGCTCCAGGGAGCCAGATTGGAGAGGCCGGGCAATCCCCACCCACACACAAGCTCCTGGGGAGGTGGGCACTGAGCACATCTGGATTTCCGCTCCCTCCGCTTGTCCTCAGATCCACGGCCGATCGTGGCCAGGGTGCAGGGTGGTGCTGCTGCTGGCGTGTGCGCACGGGCGGAGCGCACTGTGAAGAAGGCTCTGCAGATCTGAGCTCCGCACCCACCCGCCAGCCGAGCAGACAGCACCGTGGCCTGTTTGTCTCAGACACACCCTCCCCCTGGCGTTCCCGGGGAGCTGTGTGTGTCCAGAGCTGCTGACAGGCTCGGAGGGAGGGAGTTGCGGGAGACAGGGTCCCCGAGGCCGAGTGCAGTTACTTTCTGATGTTCACCGCTGGCCCCTGGTCTTTAGGCACAAGCGTTAGTCTGTAGGACTTCACGTGCATGTCCGTGTTTTGTGGGGTTCGTTGTTAGATTGTGGGTTCAGGCTTCTTCACCCTCTCCCTGAGATGGGGGTGGCTGCTCGGCCTGGCCAGCTGCGGAGCACCACGTGGCTGGGCAGACAACGTGCAGAGCAGTGCTCCGCAGACATTAACCGGCTGGCTGCCTGCGGTTAGGGGACAGCCCGTGGTCCATTCAG